TTCAGCATGCTGATTAACACAAGAAGTACCAGGAATGTTTGGTTTAGTGGTAGTTGCAATCCTCTATTGAGAAGTTAGAGAAGGCCTCACTCACTACCTACTGAAGTAGATACCTGTAAGAAGAAATTCCAGTCAGAGGGAATAGCTAGTATAGAGACCTTAAGGGTTAGAGCATACCCAGCAGGTGAGTTTGAGTAACATTAAAGGACCTATGTGGGAAGCCATTGGAGGGTCCTGAGAAAAAAAGTGGTGTGATCTGAATTCATTTTAATCAGATTGCTCTGGAAGCTGTGTCGACTACAGACTGCAGGAAGGCAAGAACAAAGGCAGGAAGTCCAGTTAAGAGACCACTAATGATACAGATGAAAACGCAACTGAAATAAAGACAATACCCTTTCAGTATTACACTTGGATTGGTTTCTTCTTCCACTTAACTTTTTTAAAGATGCTAAGCATTGAGACCAGCAGTTAGTGTAATGGCTATGTCGCTGGACTCCCACATAGTCGACCGCAGTTCGAGTCCCGGACACGGTAGCTTAAACTCATGTCAGGCGCGTGTGCGTGCGTGTCCAAGATCCCGAGAGGAAAATGGAGGAGAAGGGATTGCGGCATGACCATCCCCCCTGGGGGGTGATTTCTCGCTGTCTTTCTGTCTCTCTCTCTCTTTCTGGCAAGCGCACACGTCCTATAGCAAAAACCTCTCCAAAAAAAAAAAAAAAAAGATGCTAAGCATCAAATTATGGATTTCTATTTTTCATTCCTTCATCACACACACCTTTGTCATGGCATGTAGAATGTACTTCTCCTCCTGACTTAGGAATTTTGCTTGCCCTATGAATTGTTAGCAAACTTGACTTGAATTTTGAAATGTGTTTATGTGATTGAGCTTACCCCTCTTGGCTTCTTTTCTTAAGCCATCATGGCAAAGGCACTGGTTTATTGCTTTGCAGTGCTGGCAGCCACATGACTGAATTGGGTTCTGATCTGTGGGTTCAGATCCTAAGTTGACCTGAAACACACATACCTAAGTTCTTGACTAGGTGCAGGGATGGGGGAAGGGGATTGCAATGTCATGAGACCCTGTTGATGGCTTCTGGCTTACTTTCTCTGTCTCCTGCCCTTATGAAAGAAAGAAAAAAAAAACTTAAAAATTATGCAGTAGGGGCAGCAAGTGGCATAGTGGTTAAGCACTGGACTCCCACATGGGTGACCATGGTTCGAGTCCCAGACCTGGCAGCTTGAAAATCACACTGGGCATGTGTGCATACATGCTGGAAATCCTGAGAGGAGAATGGAGAAGGGATTGTGATGTGGACATCCCTTATGTGTGGGTGTGTCGGGGAGGGGGGCATGGTATTTGTCAAATTCCCTCTCTCTGTCTAGCACGTGAACACATCCTGTGGCAAAACCCTTTTTTTTTTAAAAAAAAAAAAAAAAAAAGGAAAAACTATCCAATAAAAAGAGTAAAACAAAAAAATTCCACAGTTATCCATCTACCATACTTAGACTCTTTTTCATTAAGCCTGTTTCCTGGAATCCAACTAGAATAATGTAAAAGAATCGATGCCAGGTGCAGTCTGCAAGTATGGATGCAGGTCTTGTGCTCTGTAAAACAAAAGCCAAGTTGAAACATGGACTCTACTCAGATTTCTCTAGGGTCCCCTTCAGCTTTCTCATGTTTAGATACAGGCAGACTTGAGTCCCAGTACAAATACTTGTACTCACTGTGCGACCACGGGCAAGCCATGAAGGCATATAAGGACGATACCCTTATAGCATAGAGGTGGGGTTAATGAACATTTGTACATACATCTAGCACAACAGCTGCACGTGGTGCATGCTCAATAAACAGTGCACTTTAGGGAACCAGCAGTTAGCGTAATGGCTATGTTGCTGGACTCCCACGTAGTTGACCATGGTTCGCGTCCCAGACCTGGTGGCTTAAAACCCATGCCAGGCATGTGTGCATGCGTGCCCAAGATCCCGAGGGGAGAATGGAGGAGAAGGGATTGTGGCGTGGCCATCCCCTCTGGGGGGTGATTTCTCACTTTCTGTCTCTCTGTCTGTCTCTGTCTGTCTGGCGAGTGCACACGCCCTATAGTGAAAAAAACCTCTAAATAAATAAATAAATAAATAAATAGTGCACTTTAAACATATTCCCTATGTTCATTTCATAAAAGGAGGGACAAAGGAGATTATTACCACCACCCACTGTCTTTTAGCTGAGAAAATTCCCAATAGACCCAAGCTTGAGTACTAGTCCTTGAAAGAGAATAATGATGATGACTCAGGACATTTTATTGGTAACCACATACCTACCTCTCTATTTCCAGATTGTCATCGTCTTATTGCTTTCTTCCCTCCCTCAGTTCACAGGGATTGTGAGGTGGCACATAGGATGTAAGCAGAATACAATAGTAAACTATACATAGAACATAAAATACTAGGGTAGAGAAAACTTGTAGAGAACTGAATTATAGACTGGCAAGACCTTATACACAAATAAGTAATTACCAGGTCCTACATAGATTCCAAAGTTAATCCAGAAATTTAGTTCTATCTTTCTTCCTGATCAAAATGAAAATAGAAACAGTCCATTGATAGTCATTATGAGAAGAAAGCATGACTTTACAGAAAATTTAATAGGATAACTTTAACTACATTCTCGTAAAATGCATCAGTAAGTTGTCTAAGAATGTATTCTGTAGTATCTTCCAAAGAAAATCAAAATTCCAAAACATAATTCTAAAAAGACTGTATCAGGGACCATCCCAATGATTATGATGTCCCAATTCTAGCAGCAGTGGAATGGCCAGACAGGTGTGCTTCCCAGAATCTCTGCAGAATCTCTCCTTTTTTTCCCAAAGATTTATTTAATGATATTATTATCATTTTTTTTATTTGCTTTATAGGGCATGTGCACTAACCAGAGAGACAGAGAAAGGGAAAGTGAGAAAGCAAGCTTCCAAGTCCAGGTCTCAAACCATGGCCAGCCATATGGGAGTCAAATACCCCAACCACCATGCCATTTACTGGCCCCAGAATCCCTTTTAACAGAGCTGGGACCAATCAAAGTCATAGCTATGGATTGTTCAATGTTACTACACTGGTCCACAATTCCATTTATTTTTTAAGAGAGAGAGATTTTGCTATAGGGTCTGTGTACTCACCAGAGAGACAAAGAGAGAAAGTGAGAAATCACCCCCAGGGGGATGGTTGTGCCACAATCCCTTCTCTTCCATTCTCTTCTCAGGATTTTGGACATGTATGCATACATGACTGGCATGAGTTTTAAGCCACCGGGTGTGGGACTCGAACTGCGTTCAACTACATGGGAGTCCAGTGACATAACCATTATGCCATCTGCTGGTCTTGGTCCATAGTTCCTTATCCATAATCTCAAAAGTTCAGAAAACAAAAGTTGGTTGTGACTTACTTGACAACAAAATCGATCTGAGCCAAATGTCCTGCATTGATGTGGGGCTATTTTTAGTCCTTTCCTCACAATATAAATATTCATGTATTGTACTGCAGAGATATTTAAGTGTTAAATATAGGCTGTTTCCCAAGCCCCAGTGGAAGGTGTTACACAATAAAGACTATACATGTTACCTTTCTAAAACCTGTGGGAAAAAGTTCTAGATTCTGAAACCCATCTGGTCCCAAAGGGTCTAGAAGAGGCACTCTGGATCTATATTCTCTGATAAACTTCAAAGAACAGTTACTGTGTAAGTGTAAAGAATGTTCACATACTTCAGATATCAAATGAGCCAGGGGTGGGGTAGACCCTTTTCTATAAATAGCCTAATCAATGGCAATCAACCCACCTCCAAAATCAGGTAGACTATGGCCAAGATGACTTAGTCCACATCCCCTTAGTCCATTCCCTTGGAGTCCTATATAACTGGGCCACTTTCAATATTTTCTGGAAAGTCAAAAATCACTATGGCAGTTTTGGTGGTCTGAGTGCTATTTCTGAGTCCCACAGACATCATTTTCCCCATCTCAATGTCATATACACATGTATGCCATGTAAATATGATGATTTTGAGCTTAGACATGAATGCCTTAAAAGTGCGTTTATTACACATACAACACAGTATGGTGAAGTAATGGGAAAAGTTCTTACAATTGCTCTCCCTTGTAAAGAAATAGCAAAAGATTTTATCAAATGCCAGATGGTGGTGCAGCTGTAAAATGCAAATGTGATGCTGCTTTGTGAGGCTAACCCATGTTAGGGGTTTCCAGGTTCACATCTGGGGACCTCCCTGATCTAGGACTGGCAAAGATGGGGATGGATCAAGACCTTGAGACCCTTTTAAAAGTTGCTATTTTTCTTTCTCTTTGTCTCCCTCACTTATGGAAGAAATAATTCAATGAAAGTTTTCTAAAAAAGTAAAAATAGGGGCCAGCAGGTGGCATGGTGGTTAAGATGCTGGGCTCCCACATGGCCCATGCAGTTCACTTCCTGGACCCCACAGATGGAAAATAACACCAGGTACGTGAATGTTGTGCCCAAAGTCTGGAGAAGAGAATGGAGGACAAAGGAATGCAGTGTGGCCATTCCCCCTGGGGGATGATTTTTGATTTTCCCTCTCTGTGTCTCTCTCTCTCCAGTGAGTACATGTGCCCTATGGCAAAAAATATTTTAAAAAAATTAAAAACAAAAATATCATCAGGGGTTCTTAACTCTGACTATGCAGAGAACCACCTGGTAAGGGAACCAGCAGTTGACGTAATGGCTATATCGCTGGACTTCCATGTAGTTGACTGTGGTTCAAGTCCCAGAGCCAGTGGCTTAAACTCACACTGGGCGCGTGTGCATGCTTGTCCAAGATCCCTAGAGGAGAATGGAGGAGAAGGGATTGCGGTGCAGCATCTCCCCAGGGGTGATTTCTCACTTTCCCTCTTTCTAGCAAGCGCACCCGCCCTATAGCAAAAACCTCTAAAAACAAAAAAAAAACAAAAACAAACAAACAATCAAAGCACTGCTAGGGGGCAGAATGGTAGCACAGTGCTGAAATGCAAAGTTCTGCAAGGCAGACCCGCATAGGAAGGTTCTGGGTTTGCATCTGGAGACTCTTCTTAGTAACCTGGGCACACGCGTGCCCATGATCTGGGGCTGACAAAAACTGGAGATGAGTCATGACATCAGGACCCTCTTGGGAGTGCTATCTCTCTGTTACCGTGTGTTTCTCTCATTTAAGAAATAAATAAACATAAAATTTTTAAAAAGAAAAACTGAGCAGTTCTCATTGACTGGAATGGATGCCAATTTAATTGGCCTAAAGAGCAGTCTAAACATCCAGAAGCATCTCTCACTGATGAAAAAAAAAATCATCTAGGGAACTTCAGGCAAGCTTATCTTCTCATAAATTGGGATACAGTGCCCTGTCGGGGAAGTGTAAGAGGGTTAGAAGGATAAACTCCGTTGGGTGAACAAAGGGTAAGGGAGAGAGCTTCTTCACAGTCCTGACTAGGCCATAAAACAGATCACTGGGACCATGTGCTAAGAGATCCTCTCTGAGGATATGGTAGTAGACAAAGGAAACAAACCAGCGTCAGTCGTTATGTCAATTTTAGCTAGCACTAGCTGTGTAAAGTACCATCCTGAAAAGGATGCTGAGGCAGGTTCCTGCTCAGTGGAGAAATGTGCCATGATCAATTAGCAATGCCTGCCATGTGTGAGAAAAGACATAGTTGCATATTTGCTACATATTGTCTTTCTTGAGAACCTATGGCACTGCTGTTTTGCTGTCTATGGCCAATAGTACCACTCTCAGAACATCAGCAGTACTCAGCTACAGAGAGAAGTATCCTAGATTAGACAGACATGCAAGTTGTGTCCCTCCTCACAATTCTATCCATATGTCTGTCCAACCACTGCGTTTATCTCTGCTTCATAAAGAGACTCTTGAAGGCATTATTATAGTTCTTGTTAAAAGCTGTGTAAATCAGAGGATTGAAGAAAGAATTGGAGTAGCCAAGCCATAGAAATATGCTTTTCCAGATAGGGGGCAGGCTGTAGGAGCAGAGGGGGCTGATAAGCTCCGTCAGGAAGAAGGGAATCCAGCACAGCACAAATACACCGATCAGAATCCCCACCATCATGGCTGCTCGCTTCTCTTTCTGCTCCCGCCACAAGTCTCCGCTTGCTTGGAAGGCCACTGTTCCTCTGCAACGTGCTGTGAACACCATCTCAGCCTCATGAGGTGCTTCTTTCACCTTGGAATGAAGATAACAGAGAATTGAAAAACAAAACAGACAAGGAAAAAGCTGAACGAACTACGAAATCAACAGCTCTTCTCAGATCTGCTAAAGAAGTGAGATCACAGGGATAAATACTGCTCCAAAAGTGAGAGAGACAGGTAAATACGGAGAATCATAGCATATCAGAAAAACTCACAAGCAGAAATCTCTGCAGGAACCAGTGAGTAGTAAAACAAACTTAATTGACAAACTGTTAGAGGCTCAGTGTGGACAGGTCTGAAAGTTAAAAACCCCAGGAGGGGCCCAGCAGTTGTGGTACACAGGCAGGGGCACTATTTGGGAGAATGGAGGCCACATGGGAGGTCCAGGTTAGGCACCTCGGCAAACCTGGGCATTCTGGGTACATTTGCACATAGTTATAATCCTGGATAAGTGGGTGTTTGGGTTAAGAGAATTGTGATACCATGATACCCTGACAAAAAATATTTCTTTCTCCTTCTGGGGGAATAATTCTCTAGAAGAACTCAGTCATGGAGGTAGGTAGAAGGTAGGGTGTATATTTATGTAAGTTTTATAACCTCCAGGAGCTCTCTGGGTCCTCATAATGAATAGTACAGAAAAATCACCTCATGCTTTCAGTAAGGAGAGGGGAAAATGATCCATTCCAAAATCAGAACATTTTGTTTGTAGTAAGGTGTAGAAGGGTCTTAGGATGTAAGGTTAATACAAAAAGATCAAGTAATTTCCTATTTGTCAACAATAAACAAGTCAGATTTGAAATTAAAAACAATACATCACATCTACATTAGCATCTGAATAATGAAGTACTAATTATAAGTCTAACAAAATATATATAAGATCTACTTCAGTAGATCTGAAGAAAACTTATGTAAGACACAAATCAAAGAAGAACTAAGGAAATGGAAAGATATTCCATGTTCATGGATAAGAAAACTCATTATTGTCAAGATATCAGTTCTTTTCAACTTAATCTACAGATTCATCGCTGTCCTGATCAAAATCCTAGCAAGTTTTGGGTAATCAGGAAAGCCATGATGCATTTTTGCATGGAAAAAAATGGCATGACTTTTCTGACAACCCAATATTTTGTGGGTATCAACAAACTGACTCTGAAGTTTGTGTAGGGACACAAAAGACACAGAATAGCAACACAATATTAAAGAAGAACAAAATTGTAGGGTTTATACTACTCTACTAAAGTTACAATAATTAATCACCAGTGTGATACTGGTGAAAAAATAGACGAAAGATAAATGAAACAGAAGAGAGAGTTCAGAAATAGACCCACATAATGTTGTTAACTAATCTTTGATAAAGAAACCAAAACAATGAGGCCAGCAGATGGCATAGTGTTACGTTGCTGGACTCTCACATGGCTGGTCACGGTTCAAGTCCCTGACCTGGTAGCTTGAAAATCACACTAAGTGCATGTGTATGTGTGCCCAAGATTCCAGGAGAAGAATGAATAAGGAATTGCAATGTGGCCATCCCCCTTCAGGAGTGACTTCTCACTTTCCCTTCTGTGTCTCTGTCTGTCTCTTCTTCTCTCTGGCAACCACATGTGCCCTGTGGCAAAAATCCAAAACAATACAATGTATTAAAGATGGTCTTTTCAACAAATGATGCTGATACTAAACATCCACAGGAAAAGAAAATTAATCTAGATGTAGAACTCAAACCCTCCACAAGAATTATTTTACATAGATGTGGGGCAATAGTGGCATGGTGGTTAAGGCAGCTGGATCCCACATTACTGACTGTGTGGTTCAAATCTTAGACCTGGTGACTTGAAAACCACACCAGGAGTGTATTCTGCATGCACAAAAATCCCAAGAGGAGAATGGAGAAGGGATTGTGGCATGGCACATTCCTTGGGGAAAAAGGGGTGCTTCCTCACTTCCTCTGTTTGTCTCTGTTTCTCCAGTGAGTACATGCACCCTATAGAAAAATTACAACAAAATTACATAGATGTAAAACACAAACTATGAAACTCCTAGAACATAACACAGGAAAAAATTTAGATGACTTTGGGTTTGGTAATGTCTTTTTAGATGCAACAGTAAAAGCAAGATTATTATAAAGAAAGAATTGATAGTCTGGACTTCATTAAAATTAAAAATTCCTGCTTTATGAAAGATGCTGCCAATAGGATTAAAAGACAAGTCACAGTCTTCTTCAAAAAATATTTGCAAAATATGTATCTAATAAAGGACTATTACCAAAATATACAAAGATCTCTTACAGCAACAATAAAAACACAAACTGTTTTTTTAAATGGGCCAAAAACTTAGACACGTCAAGACAAAAAAATACAGATGGCATATGAAAAGATGCTCTACATCATATGTTGTCAGGGAAATTAAAATTAAAACAACAATGAGATACCACTACACACCTATGAGAATGATCAGAATCTGGAACAATGACAATACCAAATACTGGAAAGGATGTGGAGCAGCAGGAACTCTCGGCCATTGCTGATGGGAATGGAAATTGGTATAGTCACTTGGAAATCTGTTTGATGGACTTTTACAAACTAAACATACTCTTATCATTTGATCCAAAAATCACCCTTCTTTGTATTTACCCAAAGGAGTTGAAAACTTATATATACCCACACAAAAACATGCACAGGGGTCTTTAAAGCAGCTTTATTAACAATTGCCAAAACTTAGAAGCAACCAAGATGTCTTTCTGTAGAGGAGGTGAATGGATAAACACTGTGGGGAAGCAGTGGGTGGTGTGGTGGTTAAGGCAATGGACACTCCCACTTGGCCGACCACAGTTGAAGCCCCAGACCTAGTGGTTTGCTTTCTCACTTTTGCTCTCTTTATGTGTCTTTCTCTGGTCAGACTAAAAAATAAGTGAATGAATAAATAAAAATAAATTTAAAAAAAACCAATACTGTGGTACACCCTAATAAATGGAATATTATTCAGCCTTCAATAGAGCTATCAAGTTGCAAAGATATGGAGAAAACTTAGATGCAAATTACTAAATGAAAGTCAATCTGAAAATGGTATATATGATATGATTCCAAATGTGTGTGACATTCTAGAAAAGGCAAAACTATGGAGACAGTAAAAAGTCAGTGGTTGCTGGAGGTTGAGACTAATATGCAGAGCAAAAAGGGTATTTCTGGCAATGAAACTATTCTGTATGATACTACAGTGGCAGGCACATGCTACACATCTATCCAAACCCAACACAGTTAGTAAACCTTAATGTAAACTATAAACTTTGAGTAAAAATTATTGTTCACATACACTTATCACATTTTAACAAACATACTGCTAGGGTGAGGTTGTTGATCATGACGGAGATTGTGCATGTTTAGAAGCAGGCAAGTGAATGCAAATCTCTATACTTGCCAATAGGCTTTGCTGTGAACCTGAAACTGCTCTAAAAGAATGAAGTTTATGGGAACCAGAAGTTAGTGTAATGGCTATGTCGCTGGACTCCCACGTAGTCGACCGCGGTTCACGTCCCGGATCCGGTGGCTTAGAACTCACGCCGGGCGCATGTGCATGTGTGCCCAAGGTCCCGAGAGGAGACTGGAGGAGAAGGGATTGCGGCGTGACCATCCCCTCTGGGGGGTGATTTCTCGCTTTCTGTCTCTCTGTCTCTCTCTGTCTGTCTGGCGAGTGCATACGCCCTATAGCGAAAACCTCTCAAAAAAAAAAAAAAAAAAAGAACAAAGTTTATTAATTTAAGTAAGTAAAAACATATTAAGGGGCTTCAAATAGTTTGTGGAAAAATGGAATTAAAGTATGAGCTTAGGGCCAGCAGGTGGTGTGGTAGTTAAGGCGCTGGAGTCCCATATGACTGACTGCAGTTCAAATCCTAGAGTGAGCAGTTAGAAAAACATGCTAGGTGTGTTTGGGTGCATGCCCTAAATCCCAAGAGGAAAATGGAGAAGAGATTGTGGTGGAGCCATCTCCCCTGGGGGAACGATTTCTCACTTTCCCACTCTGTCTCCGTCCAACTTTCACCAGCTAGCGCATATGTGCTATAGCAAAAACCTTTTAAAAAGAAAAAGGAAGAGAGTTTATTTTGGTGCAAAATTTTTTAAACCCATGCAGTGTTTCATAATATGCATTTTCCATGAACTTTGTGAAGAACCTCCCTCTCAATCAGTATGATTAAAGCAACATAACGTTACCCTAGTATTTCCCAACTCCTCTTCACCATCATTCCAGAGTGTTCACATCATAATCTATCAAAAAATACTAGGTGAAAGTTACTGAAATTAGGTTAAAATAAGGCCTGAACACGCTTGAGGAAGAGAGAATGATGGTCACACAATGTCAAATAATGTGATATAAACAGGAGATGAGGCAGAACTGAGTCTCAGCTCCACCAGGAAAGCTCCTCTGCCTCTCCAGTCTGTTTCCCTGTCTGTGATGAGTCTCCTTCCCTGCCAAGACCGTCACAGAGACGAACTAGGAATGCATGTTTAGTGCCCTCCGTGCATACATTCACCATTCCATATGCACAGAGTAGGTATGGGGCTAGGACCAAAACAGCAAATGGAACAAATCCAGTCCTGCATCTCACAGTTTGCCGCTGGAGGGACAGCACTTAAGCAGTGCTATTGCAAGAAACTGTACAATGATGTCGGTAACCTGATTCCGTTTAAATTATGATTCTGCATTGCCTTGCTTTTGAAAAAGGAAAACAAACTGTACATCAACTTTGTGCTAATCATCAGCTGCTACTTAAGAAATCTCTGGCACATTCTTCACACCTTTCATCTCCTTTCTTTGGTTAACTTTTATTTACTTTTGGGTTTCAACTTAAAGACCACCAGCCCTTTGAGAGTGACCCACCCTAATCCTCTAAATTCAATGATGGCTCCTTGGTTTGGTGCCACGTTTTCCTTTTTTGAAGTGATGTGTGTGATGTCTAGCTCCCTCCGGGCCAAGCTGAACGAAGGCAAGGACTGTCTTCCCAGGACACTGCCTGGCAACAGCTTCTGGTGCTGGTAGAAGCCCAGGAAACTTCTACTTATTAGTGGCTTATTGTTTCACAGAGTGGTCTGCATCTGCTTTGCTTTTCCTTCTTTGAATGCTGCCAGTAATGGCCACAGATGCCTCCCAATGTACAGAGGCAGGAGCCTCCCAGATGGTGATTGCATCTAGCTTCTCTCCTAGACACAACTGAAGCAGCTATCAGGGTGACTGCACAGCTGTGGGGCACTTGATGTGTCTACAGCATGTTCACTTGTCCTCTCTCACCTGGATTGGGATAGCCGAAGCTAAAATGGTGGGAGGATTTCCAGATAATGGACTTCTGCAAACCTGGGACTCTTTCCTGGGACCACCTTCACATTCTGTGTCTTCTGCTACTTCCCTCCATATTCTGTGTCACTGTTCCCATGAGTATTCTGACATCAAGACATGGATTCTGAGTTGTCATTCAGGATACAGTGTCTTCACCCATACTCCAGGAGGACAGGGACCATGTGTCCTGATCACTGATGACTCTCCAGTTCATGGTGTATGCCATAGGGAACAGTCAATAAACATTTACTGACTAAATAAATGTTGGGGGGAGACTATTCTTTTGTGTGTGTCTTGAGTTCCTGCACATGATACAAGAAAAGATACAGTTTTTGTTTTTGACTAGGATGTTAGCATAGCACTTTTGGAAGGTAGAAATATTGTCCCACAGTGGAAAAGAGGACAGGTTTGCTTGAAAGCCATTATAAAAAGATGTAGACTTCTTTATGATAATATAATATAATATTATAATATAAATAAAATAAGAGCAAAAGGCAGATTTGTTTACTATTCAGCACCAGACAAAAAAGTTTTAGTTCTCAAATCTGGAAGTTTCTCTGCTGTGATGCAAATCCATTGGGGCCATCTGTGTCCTGTGTAACTTTAAGGAAATGGGGAACTGATGCAAGCACAAAGCTCATACTGTGTAATAAAGTCTTTCATTCCAACCCAAGAGTCTTGTGTCTTCTGTGAGCAGCTAGCAAACTGTGGCAGGTTGACTTTTTGCATGCATATGGAGTTGTTTTTTGTTTCTTTCTTGTTTGTTTGTTTGTTTTTTGTTTTTTAATCTCAGCTCCATCACAGTTCTTGACATGTGTCTAGCATGTAGCTAGATGGTTCTGTGCCCTGCCATACTCAGTTGTAACAGTGACCATATATGGAAGGAGGGAGGAAGTCAAGGCCCAGAGTAAGATAGGGATTAGCTGCGAGTCTCCATTTCTACGTCTCTAGCTAGGAAGAATTTTACCTATCTTGTGGGATTATTATGAGGATTACAGTGAGATAGTAATATAGGATAGGACCTCAATAAATGTCAGCTTAAGGTCTCCTACTTCTCCTGTAAAAGAATCTCCAGCTGCCCCAGAAAGAGTCTGCAGACATTTGCTATCTTCTCATGTGGTCATTTTAGAAGGACTATCCCAATAAGAAGAAATAGAACAGGAAAGCAGAATGAAGAAGGATGGTTCTTAAATACTATGGGACCCAGTCATTTGTTCGGTGAAAACATGGGTGAGATATCTGCTATGACAAGATTTCACAAGGCTGCTCCCAGAGGGCCCGTTAATTCTAGCAGCTAATCAAATCCTGCAGTGTCTACAGGAGAGGGGAGGACACTGAGAGCTTTCCAATCATAGATGAAGGCAATCTGGATTTTACCTGGAATGCCCTGTTTCTGACTGGAACTCAGAGGTCAGAGTTCAGAATACCTGGGACTTTGTTTTTGCCAAGATCTACTGAAATAACCGAGCATTGATTCTCATTTCTCCAAGGCAGTTTAAAGAGTTAACTAATCAAAATAGCCCCCAAAGTAAACAGAGATGTCTAGCTTGTCTGACAACCTAGAACAAAAAAAAAATTTTCTCAGCTGCTTTTTTTGTGCTAAAGAAGCCAAGCAAACAACTTTTTGTTAAAACAAAAGCAGAGTGCTGCTAGGCTTGAAGAAAATAAACTTTCTCTGCAGTATAATTATAAACACAACAGAGTACAGTTTTGCTAAGCTCTTGGGTATAACACAAGGCACAATGGTTACAATTCTTGTATCTGGAAAACATAGATATTTTGTTGTTCTTGTTGAGGACTGTGTCACCCTAGCATGGCTAAGGACCTGCTGCAGTTAATGCTCAAAAGAGGAAAATGTAATCAAATGTGTTAATTTAAATTAGGTGCATTTGTATTTTTATTTCTAATTATCATCTGATCCAAATAAAATAATCTCCCTTTATAAGTCCATGCAGATTCTTCTTGCAGGAGAAGGATGCTGTAGGATAGAGGGGACATTTCGTCTTTTGCATATGTCCTGTCTAGCATCAGTGTTCTGATATGCCCCTTTAAGGGGCCATGCTTCAAGACTGAGGACCACTGTCCTACCCCAGAGAGTCCCACTTTTTGCTGCACTGTGGCTTCCATCCTTCAGGCAAGCCAGAAAGGAAGAAGGGTAAACATCACCCTCCAGGGAAGAGTTTCATGAAATGTTATATGCAAATAGGACAAGCTAGCAGCTGCTTACCTTTCTGAATGGAAAGTTCAAAACTTTCTTGAATTTTCAAGGAATTTGGTAACCAACCAGTTAACAACCATGGAGTTTGCCTTTCATTCTTCCACTGAGAAGCCAAATTTTCTCCCAAAACAATATGGACTTAACAAGTAGCTTATTGGAGTCATCAGGTCAGGTGTGGTGGTTAAAGGTGCTGGATCATGGTCAATCACTATTCGAATCCCAGAACTAATACTCTCACTCACTCTCTCTCTCTCTTTCTGTCTCTCTCTCTCCCCCCCACCCACTCTGTTCCTCTCTGGTCAAAATAAAATAAATAAATAAATAAAGTTAAAATAATTCTTAAAGAAAAAGAAGTAGCTTATTACAAGGTCACATTTGAAGAAGTTAGCCCTGTGCCATATTTGTCTATACCCCCTTTGTTTCTCTTCTTCCTCCTCCATGTTTTCCCAACAATTCAAGAAAAAAGAAAAAAGAGGATGAGTAGATGGTATGTAGGGTAAAGCACTGGATCCTCCATGTCTAGCTTCACACTTTGAGTCCCTGACCCAGTGGCTTAGCAATCATGCCAGTGTATATACATGCATGCCCAAAATCCTGGGAGGAAAACACAGAAAGGATTACAGTGTGGCCATCTCCCCCTGATGGTGGTGGTGGTGATGGGGTTCTCACTTGCTTTCTCTTTGGAAACAGCACATGCCTTATAGGAAAAACAAAACAAAGAAAAAAAGAGAGAAAGAAAGAAAGAGAGAAATGAAATGAAATGAAATGAAATGAAATGAAATGAAATGAAATGAAATGAAAAGAAAATAGAGGAAAAGAGGCAGGATGAACATAATGAAGTAGAGAGAACAAGTGAAAAGTTTTATGAAAAAGAGTTGGTTATTTTGGGAAATTCTCAAGTAAGTACCAATCTTAAAAGAATCAAACCAGGAACAACATATGGCATGGTGGTTATGGCAATGGACCCTACCAGGCCAAATGCATGGTTCAAGTCTTGGATGTGGTAGCCTGAAAAAACATACCTGATACATGCACACACAAGTTCAAAATCTCAAGAGGAGAATGGAAAGGGGAATATGGAATGGTCATCCTCCCCCAGGAGTGATTTCTCACTTTCTTTCCCTCTCTGTCTCTCTCCAGCAAATGCATGTTCCCTATAGCAAATAAAACTGAAATTAAAAAAAAAAAAAAAGGAAGATTCAGACCATAAGTCTGGCATAGAAATGAGTCTGAGCCTCAGATTTTTAGTAGGGGGAATCAATAGCACTGATTTTCTTCCACCTTCTTCTCAAAGATAAGTTCAGGTTGAACCCAGATCCCACATGCAGGTCTATCTACAAACCCAGTTGCTTAGTTGGTAGGGTGGTCCAGATGACACATAAGCATTGGACAAGCAACAAAACCATGTAAGGCTCAGACGAAAATCCTAAAAGAAAAGAAAGCTACAGACCCATGTCCCTGATGAACACAGGTGCTAAAGTCCTTGACAACGTACTTTAAACATAAAATTTTGCTAGCAGGCATGCATGCTTGCCTGAGAGAGAGACAGAGAGAGGGAAAGAAAGACAGAGAAAGCGAGAAAACACTCCCTGGGGGAATGGCCATACCACAGTTCCTTCTCCTTCTCTTCCTCCTTTAGGGATTTTTGGGCATGAACAGACATGCACACAGCATGTTTCTCAAGCCACCGAGTCTGGGAGTTGACCCACATCGTCAGCCATGTGGAATCCAGCACCCTAACCACCACACTACCACTGGCCTCCTCAACAAAATAGCATGATCCAGCACCCTTAACCACCACCCCACTTGCTGACCCCAATAATAATAATAAATAATAAACCAAATTCAACAACACATTAAAATGAACATTCACCATGATCAAGTGTGATTTATCCCTAGGGTGCAAAAATGGTTTCCTCATACATAAATCAATAAATGTGATATACCGCATTAACAAAAACTGTATAATCCTCTCAGTAGATGTACAAAAATCATTTCAAAAAGTTCAACATATGTTTATTATTAAAAACTGTCAACAAATTAGGCATAGAAGGATAGAGCCCAATGGCCTGGTGATTACAGAAGCTGGATCCCACATGAGTAACCATGCAGTTCAAATCCTGACCCCAGTGGCTGAGAAACATGCCAGGCGATGGTGTGTACATGCCCAAAATCCCAACAGGATGAAGAAATGGAGAAGGAATTGTGGTGTGACCATGCCACATTGGCAGTACTTTCTTCCTTTCTCACTTTCTCACTGCCTCTCTCTCTGCCTGTTTCTCTCTAGCATGGATACAAGCCATGTGCCCTTTGAAAATTGGGAGGAGGAAGAGAATGAAAAAAATGAAGTCTTAAAAAAAAACTTTACAAAAAACTGTTAGAACTGATGAATGAATTCAGTGAAGTAGTAAGACACAAAATTAACACACAAAAATAAGTAGTGTTTCTATATACTAACAGCAAGTTATCTGGAACAAAACATTAAAAATAATCCCATGTACAGTAGCATCAAAAAATAATTAGAAATAAATTTAATCAAGGATGTAGAGAGCTATACACTGAAAATTATAAAACATTGATGAAAAAATTAAAGACAAAAATACATAGGAATATACTTTGTGTTCATGGACTGGAAGAATAGTGTTAAAATGTCTATACTACCCAAAGCAATCTACAGATTCATTGTGATCCTCATCAAAATGTCATCTAATCCCTACCATAATTCTAATGTAATCTTTCACAAAAATAGAAAAAATGATTCTAAAATCCATAAAAGACCCCAAATAATCAAAGCAATTTTCAACAAAAAGAACGAAGGTAGAGGCATCACTACCTGACTTTGAAACACACTACAAGGCTATCGTAAATGAAACAGCATGATATTGGCATAAAAACATACATTGGGCTAGCTGGTGACATGATGGCTAAGGTGGCTGGATCCCACATGGCTGACTTTGTGGTTCAAGTCCCAGACCTGGTGGCTTGAAAAACACACCAGGTGCATTTGTGTATGTGCCCAAAACCCCAAGAGGAGGAAAAGGGATTATGGTATGGTAATTGCCCCCTGGGAAGTGACTTCTCATTTTTTCTCTCTCTTTGTCTCTTAGTCTGTCTCTCTCTTGCAAGTGCAAGGTGCCTTATAGAAAAAGCTAAAAACAAACAACAGATAGAAAATGGTAGAGAGCCTAGAAATAACCCACATTTTATGGTCAACTGCTTTTCGATATATGTGCCATAAACACATAATGGGGAAAGGATAGTCTCTTCAGTAAATGCTGTTGAGAAAACTATGTATCCAAATGCAGAAGAATGAAATTAGATTATATCTCATACCATATACAAAATTCAACTCAAAATGAATTTAAGATTTACTGTAAGACCTGAAATTGTAAAACTACTAGATGACAACATAAGGGGAAGACTCCACAATATTGGTTTGGGCAATAATTTTTCGAGCTATGTTCCCAAAGCACAGTCAATAAAAGCAAAAATAGACAAATACAATTGCATTAAACTAATGCTCTGCACAATAAACAATAGAGTGAATTAATAACGTACAAAGTGGGAAGAATATTTGTAAAGAATATAACTGATAATTGTCCAAAAGATGTAAGAAACTTACTTGTTAGTGAGAAAACAAATAACTTGGTTTAAAAATAAGTAAAGGACTTAAGTAAACATTCCTTAAAAGAGGACATACAGGCACCAGCAGATGGCATAATGATTACATCCCTGGACTCCCACATGACCGACCACAGTTTGAGTCCAGGACATGGAGGCTTGAAACTTGTGTGTGTGTGCGTGCCCAAAATCCCAAGAGGAGAATGGATTGCAGCATGATCTTCCCCCCAGGGGGTGATTTATCGCTTTCTGTCTCTCTGTTTCTCCAGCGAGCACACATGCCCTATAGCGAAAATGTCTAAAAAGGAAAAAAAAAAAAAAAGGAAATAGACATGGTTAACAGGTTTAAGAAAAAATGTTCAGCATGACTAATTACCAGGGAAATTTATATTAAAATCACAATGAGACATCTATCACCTCACAACTCTTAGAATAGTGATTATCAAGAAGATGAAAGATGATAAGTATTGATAAAAATGAGAAGGAAAGGAACCCTTGCACACTATTGGTGAAACTATAAATTAGTACAGCCATTATAGATAATAGCATGGGAGCTCCTCAAGGGAAAAAAAAAAAAAAAAGAACTAGCCATAGTCTTAAAAGTCGCTATGATGCTGTGTTCTGGGACCATGGGAGGAATAGGTCAGTTCTTAGTCCAATCTAAAGGTATAGGCTAGGTATAGTGGTGCACACCTGTTATCTCAGTGATTTGGGGAGGCTAAGTCAGGAGAACCATGAGCTTGAGGCTGGCCTAGGTATTATAGCAAGATTGTGTCTTAAAAAAAACCAGATGTGGTAAGCCAAAGCAGTCCTGAGCGAAAATAATGAAGCTGAAGGCATCAGACTATTGGGCTTCAAAAGGTACTACAAAAGCTATAGTAACCCAAACAGCACATACTAGCAAAAAGCAGACACGTAGACCAATAGAACATAACAGAGATCTCAGAAATAAATTCACATACATACAGCCAGCTGATTTTCAACAAAGGGGCCAAGAAAATTTACTGGGGTAAAGATAGGCTTTTCAACAAATGGTGCAACGAAAACTAGACATCTATATGTAGAAGAATGAAGCTAAATAATATTTCTCACCGTATACAAACATCAACTCAAAATGAATTAAAGATTTAAACATAAAACCTGAAACTATGAAACTTTAAGAAAAAAAATATAAGGAAAACACTTTGCAACAAATAGTTTTTAAATAAACTTCAAAAATCACAGGCAACAAAAGAAACAACAGACAAATTAAATTATATTAAACAAAGAATCTTCTGCACAGCAAAGGAAACTATTGAAAGAGTGAAGAGACAAACCAAAGAATGGGACAAAATACTTGCAAATTATATATCTAACAAGAGGCTAATATCTAGAATAACCCCAAAATCAAGTCACCAGTAGAAAAATGAATATCTGATTAAAAAGTGGACACATCATCTGAATAAATAGTTCTAAATAGTTCTCAAAAGGAGACATACAAATGGTCAAAAAGTATATGAAAAAATAGAATATCACTAATCATTAGGGAAATGCAAATCAAACTATCAATACAATGATGTATCACCTAACCACAGTTAGAATAGCTATTACCAAAGAGCACAGAAAAAAAAATGCTTGTGAGGATACACAGTATGGAGAACTGTTTTACACTGTTGGCTGAAATATAAATTAGTACAGTCATTATGGAAAACAGTATGGAGTTTCCTCAAAAAACTGATAATGGAACTGATCCAGCAATCTCACTACTAGGCATATAGCCAAAGGAAGGGAAATCAGTATGTCGTAGCTATCTGCATTCCAATGTTTATTGCAGTATTATCCATACTAGCTTAGATACGGAACCAGCCTAAATTTCCATCAACAAATGAACAGATAATGCCACACACACACACACACACACACACACACACACACACACACACACACCATGAAATACTTCGTCATTAAAAAGATGAAATCCTGTCATTTGAAGTAACATGGACAAGCCTGGAGGACATTATATTAAGTAAAGCAACCCAGATACTGAAGGAGAAATAGCACATGTTCTCACTCATAAGCAGGAACAAAAGGATGGTCTTATAGAAGTAGAGCTTTTAAGAGTGAGTACTAGATGGTGGGAAGTGGGGGAGGAATAGAGGAATGTTGGTTAAAGTAACAAATTACAATAGATAAGAGGAACAATTTTTAGTGTTATAAAGTACAAAATTGAATTTTGTATGCTGTGATGATGTTCACTGAATGAATATAAAATAAATAAATTTAATTTAAAAAGTACAATAGAGTGAAGAGAGTTAACAATTTACTGTACAGATCAAAGTAGCTAAAAAAAGAGGATTTTGAATGTTTCCAACACAAAGTAATGTCAAGTGGTTAGGATGATGAATCCACTAATTACTCTGACTTAATCACTACATATTGTATTCTTTTACTGAAAATAAAACACATTGTACCCCATGAATCCATATGATCATTATATGGCAATTACAAAGAATAAAAAAAAAAAAAAAGTGAGCCTGGTGGCATGTACCTGTAGTTTCACCTGGGAGTTCTGTAACACAGAAAGACCCTGTCTAAAAACAAAAACAAACAAACAAAGAAAAAACCTAAAAATAGAACTACTATATGCTCCAGTATCTCACTTCTGGGTATATATTCCAAAAGATTGAAATCAATATGTCAAAGAGAAAAATGAAATAAGCCAGTCACAGAAAGACAAACACACTTACATGTAGAACTCAAAAATGCCAAATGTACAGAAGGAAGGAGCAGAATGGTGGTTACCAGGGACTACAGGTGAGTTGTGGGGAATGTGGAGATGTTGACCCAAAGTATAAACTTCCAATTAGACAGAAACAATAAGTTTTCAAGATCTATTGCACAGCAAGGTGGCCATAGTTAATAATAATGCATTGTGTATTTCCAAATTGCTGAAAGAAAGTATTTAAATGTTCTCACCATACCAAAGAAAAGATAAATATGTGAGGTGACAGATATGTTAGTTTGGTGTAATTATTCCACAATGTACACATAGTCCAAAATATCACATTGTGCCCTATGCACACACACATAATTAAGTTGTCAAATGAAAATTAAAACAATAAATATAGGTAAATATACAAACAAAACATAAATGGCCCTGAACAGATTTTTAGTCTGTTCAGGGCTTATGATACACAAACTTTATGGCAACAGGTACGTGGAGGATTGGTTTAAAGAGTCAAACTTCAGAAATACAGCATTATCTAAAACCAAGTTTCAATTTGACATAAACCCTATAGTTCAATACTATGCATTTAATTTGCCTTCACAAAGTGCTTTCTCATATACTTTTTAATCTTTTAGGACACCATTATTCTCTAGAGAGATTTCTAGCAGAGCACCTATAAATTTTATTGCACTTACAGTTCTGTAAGTATAGTCTACTAAAATTAATCCCTTGAAAGCAGGAACTCATTTACTTATTCTTTGAAATTGCAGAGGCTGCCATATTACCAGATACATAGGGGGGCCCATGTAATTGAAATAATTTTGAATATCACCTTCAACATGTCCACAAGTTGAATGGCAATTATCTCAAAATTGGAGCCCCGTTCCCCTTCAAGTGTGGTTGGACTTAGCAACTCACTTCTAATGAATAGAATACAGAAGTAATCACATGCGACTTCCAAGCCAGTCATAAAAGGCATTGTGTTTCCTGGTTTGTTCCCTTGGATTGCTTAATCTGGGGAAGGCCAGCCGTCACGCGTGATAACGTTCAACTAGCCCCATGAAATTTTTTTTTTGCTTGTTTTGTTCATTTTGGTTTTTTCCCTTAATTTGCCAGAAGGTGTGTACACTCACAGGAGAGAGACAAAGTAAGAAAACACTCCCCATGGGGGATAGCCACACAGCAATCAACCCCTTCTCCCCCATTTCTCCTTTCAGGATTTTGGGCATGCACACAATCATTCCCAGCACATTTTTCTAACTGCTGGGTCTGGGTCTTAAAACACACAGTTGGCCACGTATGATCCAGCTGCCTTAACCACCATGCTATCAGTTGGCCCAGGGATGTCTTTCCGGCAGGAACTGAGGTCTCCTACCAACAGGCATACAGATAAGCCAACTTGGAACAAAGTCTCCAACTCCAGTCTAGCCTTGACCACTGCTTATTAAGAGACCTCAGGACAGAACTACGCAGCTAAGCCAGTCCCAGTGCCAGATGAACAGAAACTGTACATGTTTGCTGTTTTAAGCCACTAGATGTTGGAATAATTTGTTACATAAGCAATAACTAACTAACCTGCTTATGGATACATTTGATGGTAAGTAATAGCAGTAAGGGAAATAAAATAATGATTATTTATAAGAGGAATAGAAAAATAATGATGAAAATAATACAGCAGCTATAATTTATGGTGTACTATTTTACATACTCCATATGTATTACTATCTCATTTACTCTTCACAGAATATGATGAGACAGATGGTCATATTTCCACATTCGGGCAAATGCAGAATTAAATACGTGGCTAAAGCGCTATTAAGACACACACAAAGACTTGAAACCCAGGACTCGTTTCCAAACCCCAAGCTCTTATTTACTGTGCGCAGTACTCCTAGTGTGTGTTCACTGACTGAGTGAACAAGTGAAGGGCATCAACCAAGGCCGCTTTGTGACTGTCATGGGCTCTAGTCATCTTTGCCTCCATGGACCCCTTCCTTTATTTAAAAGTATTTACAATTATATTTTATGACTTTATTGCCACAAAAACGAATATGAACAAGGCTGCATTCATTATTATTATTGTATTTGTTTTTCTTCTAATTTTAAAAGATATTAAAATATTCCCTGAGTTCCTGGAAGAATTGTGCTCGTGTGGAGCATACCTGCTGTGCTTGATGGATAACTAGTCCCTCCTGTATCAACTAGTACTCAGAAATCAAGCAACTGAGAACAAAAACAAACAACTTTTGCCACCACATATTAAAGTCAGAGAGGCCTGGCTCATACTATAGTGGTTAAGGGAACCAGACCTCACATGGCTAACCACCATTCAAATACCAGCCAGGCCACTTAAAAACATCCAGGTATGTTTGTGGGCATATCCAAAGTCATAATAGGAAGAGGGAGGGAATGGAAGGAAAAGGATTGTGACATGACCACCTCCTACTGGGTGGCAATTCCTTTTTCTCTCCTTTCGCTCCCTCTCTCTCTCTGGTGATCACACCCATCTTCTAACAATAAAAATCAAATAAATGGATACCTGGAGTTGGCATCATGGTTACATCACTGGACTCCCACATCGCCAACAGTGGTTTAAGTCCCAGATGTGGAGGCTGAAAACTCGTGCTGGGTGCATGTGTGTGAGTGCCCAGAATCCTGAGAGGAGAATGGAGGAGAAGGGATTGTGGCATGGTTATCCTCTGGGGGGAGGGGTGCATGATTTCTCGCTGTCTCTCTGTTTCTCCAGTGAGTGCATGTGCCCTATAGCAAATAATCTCTCTAAAAAAATAATAATAATAAATTGGGACCAGCAGATAGCATAACAGTCATGTTGCTGGACTCCCATGTAGAAAACTGTGATTCGAGTCCCAGACCTGAAGGCTTAAAACGTATGCTGGGCACATGTGCATATAAACCTAAAAAATCTCCAGAAGAGGATAGAGAAAAAAAGGATTGCAGCATGGCCATCCCCCATGGGGGGCTGATTTCTCAACTTTCTGTCTCTGTCTCTGACAAGCACACACATCCCATCACAAAAAAATGTCTAATAAATAAATAACTAAATTTTAAAAAATAAAATAAAATAAATGAAAGTCAAAGAAGTGATCTCTACTCACATTGCTTTCTTCTTCTTCTAATCAGTAAAGGTCACAGGGTGATAGGAAACAATCATAACCCAGGGGGTTGGCTTGGAGGTGGAGAGCCGGATTACACTGTACACATGGTGCTCAGTGACTTAGCATATGAGGCTGAAAGGGAGGATTAAGCCTGTCTCCTGAAGGAGCCTGGCAGTGCCTCTGTGCCCAACTGTGTTGAGCTGTCCTGGAAAGAAGAGAATACGAGACCTTGTCCCCTAGTACTCATCTTGACTAGGATATGACTGCCTCACTGCTCGGGAGGTGAGGCACCTGTGAGCAGAGGGACAGTTGGTTTCTTGAAAACAGTATGAAGTAATTAAAAAGTAGTGAGAAGAACAGTGACTTTGGATCTGGTACAGACTTCAGCTTCTGCACCTGATGACTGGTTTTGATGAACTTGCTTTGTGGTACCTAGTTTCCTCATCTGTAAAATGAGGCCTGCGTGGCAAAGCCAGTGTTCCCAAAATATCTGCAGGCTTCCCTCGAATTCACAGCCAATGGCTGGCAAATGACTGTGATCAGAAGTAACATGTGTCCATTTCAAGGTAAGACAGTTCATCTCTGGTCTGCATGCTTTTTCTGCTCCCACAAAGACAGCATAACCATCAAGGCAGCGTAAGTAAAAAATGACAAGTGACCCAAATCCATGAATCACCTAGAGGAGAGCTATACAGGAAGGCCACCAGCTCCACATTGAACTTTAGTTCCAGCTCCACATTGAACTTTAGTTCCAGCTCCACATTGAGCTTTAGGTGAGAGTGAAATAAACTCTCACCAATAAATATATAAATATATACTAAATACATAACCCCAATAGTTTAAAACTATTGGTTTAGGGGTTATGTGTTACTACAGTGTGCCTTAGTTTGTCCTGACTCATAGAGACTATACATGCCAATTTTACTGGGTTATGAGGATTAAATAAGAGGATGAATACAAAGCATCCAAAAAAGTGCCTGGAAGCAAACATTTACTCAGTTAATTTTTTTTTCTTTTTCCAGTTGCAATAATTTTATTTTTCCCCCAAAGGATTAATCACTGTCCAGGATCTGTTGCTAACCACTTTCTAGTAATAGTTCAGCACTGGGACCCAGACACAGAATTCTGAAAAAGACGAAGAATGTGCACAGGCTCATCCACAAAGAACTTTAGACTTCATAAAGACTGGTGGCCACAGAAAGCAGTCCCAGTCCAGAAACTTTGTAGGATCCAAATTTAACTAGATTCATTTCACATAGAGTATAGAAAAATGCAGGTGGGGGGAAAGTAGAGAGACAGTATTATTTTTAATTATTTTACATTTTTGTTTGGATGTCCTGTGGCCTGAGACCTGCAAATGCTGACTCAGGGACACCACTCAGGGTTTGGAGTGAGGACTTGCTCAGCCACTTC